ACACGATTTCTTTGCTGCACGTAATTTACCGTATGGTGTCAATCCATCACCACCGCCACCGCCACCAAATCGAGAAGCTGTACAAGATTTCTTTGCTTCTCGTAATTTACCATATGGTGTCAATCCAACGTCACCACCACCGCCACCATTACCACAAAATCGAGAAGCTGCACAAGATTTCTTTGCTGCACGTAATCTGCCATATGGCGTTAATCCAGGAAATTCAGCAGTATCAAACGCCTGGAATCGAGCAGATTATGCAGCTCATCATCCACCACCACCATCAATGCCTATGAACAATACTTGGAATCAAACGCCACAAGGTCCACCTCAACGTCCAAATACTTCTTTTCCATATCCACCATTTGGTGTACCATCACGAGGTCCCAGTTATGTTCCTCCTCCTTCATCATTCGGTGCATTACTTTCTCAAGCACACAGACAACATTTGCCTTTTGCAGGTGCTGCTTGATTTCTTCATTTATTAACTATTCAAGCGTAGTAAAATAAAATAAAAGTGTTCTTTCCGAATTGATTTTAAACAAAATATTTCATCTGTATTATAAATTTATTGAATAAGTTGTGGTATAATTAGTTATGCAAATTTCTGATATTTTATTTTTCACGCAAAAAAAATGAATAGAATCCGCATACTGAAACTAAAGAAAAATTAATATAATCAAATCTTTGGTTTGAGTAATGTTAAATAACCAGTAACACAACCAACTGTTGTTTTTGATTTAGTTTCAAAAAATATGACTTTAAAACGATATTGTCCCGTTGTAACTGGTTTAACAAGTTTAGCACTCTTCTCACGCTTTATATTAATAGGAACATGTTCAATAGTGTATATACCAATATCGAGATCGCAGGAACATGAAGTTTAGTATTCTGATTATTTTTACGAATAAAACCATTAGTTTTACATGCTTGTTTAATAAGATCACATAATGATTGTTTATCACATGCACCTATACCAGCTAAGCATGGAAGATCGATCCAAGCTAAACCAAATTTTCGTTCGACTTTTGTTGAAAATTGTATATCAGCTGAAAGCTTTTTTGTTACATTTATTGAAAGTGATAGATCAAGAATACCGGGAATAGATAATTGATCATTCCAAATATTAAATGATATAACTCTAATAGAAAATGAAGATAATTTTTTTGAATCTTTCAAACAATTAAGATCCACATCATTCATTTGTACTGTATACATTGCGCCATAGATTTGATGAATTAATAGCAATAAAATGAATATAAACATTATGTGATAGTTAACTTATTCTCCTGTATTATAATAGTAATAGTGTTAACAAACTATTTCTTACTCGTCTGTTTTCTATTTTGACGAAGTATACCAGTAATGAGTTTGTATGTTTCTAAAATAAATATATACAGAAGACATAGAATAGATTAGGAAATATTAGTCAATTGTGTATAAACGGAAAAACTTACAGAATTACAAGAAAAATATGAATAGAACTCAGCTTAAACTTTTCTTCCTTAATATTCATGTACTAATACATACTATTCTATCATTAAAGCAAACGAACATAATGTGTTTTTACATAAGTTTGTAATTTTATTCTTAGCGATGTTTATTGAAAGTAATAAGAGACAGTAGTATTACAACAACATTGAATTGATATTGAAAATGCTAAAACTGTTATCATCGTTGATATATACTTTTGCTTACTGATGTAACCTATACTCTATTTATAAAAATATAAATACAAGTATAATGAACGATATATATATAAAACTAACCTCATTATTGCATTTGATTATTTTTCAGGAATGAAGTTTTGGCCAAATAATAACATTACGATAGAGTTTTTAACCTCATATATAATAATAACTAATCAATCATAATCACTACAAAAATGTGATATATCTTGCAATCTGATTATCTACAATAGAGACTTTATAGAAGAAAATGTAGAAGTTAAGATGTTTTTGTTTTTGAACTATTAGCATGATTATTAAAGTATTGTTGGCTAGAGCCATCTATTGTATATTATATTCTCGAGTTAAACGAATAGGAAAAGAAGTAAACGAATATATGTACATCTCTACTATTGATCATTTATTTGAATGAATTATTTCGTAACTAAATTCTAAAACTTGTCTTTCATTATATTTTAGATCGATCAAAATGGTTCAAACACGAAAACGTAAACGTGGTAAAGTTTATTTACATTCAATCAATCGTAAAAAATTATGGATAAAAGAAAAAAAGAAACGTGAAGTACATGTACGTAATTTTCCATTGATAAGTTCAAATTGGGAAACAAAATTATCAGTACCAACAAATTATCATGAATTTGCACTTGCTCATGATATAAACAAAACTTTTCCCATATCTAAAACAATAGATATGATTAATCCAAAAATTGTTGAAAGACATATCAAACGAAAACAAGAACATCTTGATGATGATGGTGATGATGATGAAGATAATATACCATCAATAGCAATGATTGATTCATCAACAAAGAAGAAAAGACGTCGACCAACTAAAGTTCATATTCGTGATGAACTTGAAAAAGATGCAAATGCAGAACGTGTTAAATCATTGAGAATATCCGATCCAGAGCGATTGTAAGTTTTGTTTAATATCAATAAAACTGAATGATTTAGAAATATTTTTCCTTTTTCTTAATTTAGATTTTGTATTTATATGATTGAAAAACATGGTACAAATTATGATGCAATGGCTCGTGATCATCACAATGATTATCAACTAACAGCACGACAATTGGAAAGAAAAGTTGAAAAATTTCAAAAGATTCCTAAAGTTTACCAACGTTATTTAGCTGAAAAAGCTGAAGGAAGAAATTTTTTAGCTGAATTTCAAATGAACGATTAAGAAAAGAATAAAGCTAATTGAATAAATAAATAAAAAAAGAAAAAAAGAAAACAATATTTTGCTTTCTTGTTGTTGTTATTTCTACTTGTTTATTTCAGATGTCATGTATTGTTCTTCAACTTGGTCAATGTGGAAATCAAGTTGGCCAACGTCTATTTGATACATTAATTGAAGATAATCTTACACATCCAAATCAAACAAAATTAACAGTTACAAATCGTTCATCGATTGATGATTACATTCGTGATTCACTTGATAAATTTTTTATTCAACATGAAAATAAACTTACTGCACGTGCACTTGCTATTGATACAGAACTTAAAGTTATTGAACAATTAATGGATGAAAAAGCTCAATCAAAACGACATTGGCATTATGAAAAAAAATGTGTTATCGAAGGTAGATTTCACGCTAGAATAGAATATTAGTAGAGAAGCAAGTTTTTGTCTTATAATTGATTAGAAAGATATTACGAATGACAAAAAAAACACCCATTGAGATTCTTATGTTATAGTTTATTCATAATTTAAAAAAGGTCGTCTCGGATCTGGTAATAATTGGGCATGTGGTTATCGAAATGGTTCTATAGCTGAAGAAAAGATTCTAAATAGTCTTCGATGGCAATTAGAACAAGCTGATCGTGTTGATACAATTTTACCCATTTTATCTTTAGCTGGTGGAACAGGTTAGATTTAAAGAAAAAACTTTTCTATTTCAAACTATATCATTTATTTAGGTTCGGGTCTTGGTGCGTATGCTGTGGAAATTGTTCGTGATGAATTACCACGTTCATTTCTTTTAACAACAATTATTGTTCCATATACAAGTGGTGAAGTTGTTGTACAAAATTATAATTCATTATTAACATTATCACATCTTTACCATTCTGCAGATGCATTATTAGTTTTTGAAAATGATATCTTACAACAATATGCAAAAAAACTTGTTTCACATTCTGGTCTTGATCGTGCAACAAATATTCATGATATGAATAATATTCTAACACGACATTTATGTAGTATTCTTCAACCCATTTCAACGAAAACAAAATCTACATATGATATTAATAATTTACTTGAACAACTTTTACCACATCCATTTTATAAATTATTAACACTTCGTTGTGTACCACAATTAAGTGATCAAGCATTAGATTTTAGTACATATAAATGGTCATCATTAATAAAAACTTTATCACAAATGTATATTAATAATTCTTATTTAGATGAAGGACTTAATTGGTCATTAAAACCTTTTCAAACACGAACAAAATCTTTAGCAAATATATTCCTATCACGTTCATATGATAAAGAAGATATTGAAAATGATTTAAAACAATATTTTAATCATTCATCATTTTATTCATCATCGATTTCATCAACAGAGTATTATCATTCATTTAATTATCGTAATAAATCGTATTTAAATTATGAAAAATATTTATCATTTCTAAGTAATTGTCAAACACCTGTATCATCACTTGATAGAATAGTAAATAAATCATGGCAATTATATGGACAAAAAGCTTATCTTCATCATTATATGAAATATGATATTGATGAACAAACATTTCTCAATAGTTTTGTACAAATTGAACAAGTTATTAAATCTTATAATCAATTGTAAAATTTTCCTTTTTTATCAGATAGATTTTATGAATGTAACTATTCCAATGAGTTTATTTTACGGAAATAAAATAAAGAGAATTAAATTATTTCACAGTAATCCTATTCGTTTGTTGGAATTTATATTTTTGTAATATCTCTGTACGAGAATTGATCAAGATTCATTTTTGTCTTTTCCACTTAACGTATGTCTTCAGAAAAGAAATTTATTATAAATGAACTAAAATAGCTAATCAATCTAGGAATGATCTTTTATAGTATATGAAAGAATACTAAGATGATTCTACAAAAGCTAACGAATACATTACAAGATTTTAGCGAAAATCTATATCATCTTCGATTGATTATTTATGAAATACAAATAAAAATGAAGAGTAGCATTAAAAAATAACTATTTTATTTATTTCACCAATTTGGCCATAAATAATTCAAAAATTTTATTGTCATTTCATAACCAAGAAAACATGCGGCATTTGCTGGAAAGGCTCGTAACATAACGGGTGTAAAGCCTTTATAAAGTGATCGAATACCTTCTGTACGAATTAATTCTCGTAACACATCAGAAACACCCGAATATTTGCCGGCAGGAGCTATTCAATACGTCAAATATAATTACAAATATTTATATATAAATAATTTTAACTAACCTGTTTGGAATCTTGATTTAAGTACATCAGGAGGAATAGCTACAACCCAGTTAGCAACACCAGCCATTCCACCTGCAAATAATGTTTTCAATGCACTTAATTCACTTGTACTATTTAAAAGTAAAAAGATTTCTGTGTATATATATATATTTAGATATATTGTATGTATACTTACGAATGTCCTTCTGGTGTTAATGCCTTCTTTAAATATTCATATGAAGCAAAATAAACACCTGTCGCAGGTACATCTAAATATTAAATTTTTTAATATTTTAATAATAGATCATATAGAAGTAAAATTATACCTCTCATAAGTGTTAAAGCTGTTCCACGGTAAATACTTCTAATACCACCTTCTTTATATAATTGTTTCGCACAATCTATTGGTCCATTATATTTGATTTCATGACCTGAATGTTGAATCTATTATTTTGATTATAAAATTTTATGTTATAAATTTCAATCTATACTTGTAATAAACATTTGATTCTTTCACCGGGTGCCATTATCACAGTTGTAAATACTCCAGATAACATACCAGCAGCAAATAGTTGTGGTAAACTGATTAGAAATACAAAACTATATTATAGAATAATTCTAAAACAATCACTTACGTATATTCACCATTTTTACCAGCTGGTGTCTGTAATTTTTTTCCAATACCAAATCCAAAAAAACAAACAGCAAACATGGGCGTTACACCTTTTGTTTAGAATACAATTAATTTATCAAATCTTTTGTAATTTTAAAAGATTAACATACCTACAAGTGGTGCAGCCATACCTTTGTATAAACCAGTAAAACCCTATTTAAATGAAATAAATTCTTGTATTTTCAATTTTTCATCTCTATAATTGTTTTACTTCTTTTGCAACAATTTTTTTTTGCACAATCAAACGTTCCAGTATAGAATGCTGTTTGGCCGGGTTGTGGTTTTGCTTGTGTTTGTAATCGTACCTTTTCAATATGACAAAAAATTTCATTCAAAAATAAGAATTTCGATAAGGAATATTTCCAAATATTTAAATCGATTTTATTCTCATTTCATCTCTAAGACTATTGCGTACTAGCTTTTATATATACTACAGATATTTTATTATTTTAACTTACCTTAATTGTATCTAATGGATGACCTGTAATAACAAGACAAGCACCACCAACACCACCAGCAAGAAAATCTTTGATTGGATTAACACTTTTCAATGTCTTTTTTGCTGCTGCCGCCTCACTTGGTGTTTGAGACATGATTAGATTTTTTTTTGAAAAACACACTCTTCTAGAAGATTTTTTCTAATATGTATATATATATATAAATTAAATAAGAATCAATATCAGCATCTCGGATAGTTTATTTTGCTTATTTATACGTGTATAATAAAAAAATGCCAACCGCTCGATTAAATGAAACAAGAAAAGCAAATACAAATACAGCAAATCGAATGAATGTTATATCAATAAACTAAATAAAAAGCTAGGATTTCTAGTTATAATAGTACGCACACAGAAAAAGAGAAAAAAAAATGTCTGTATGTGGAGATATTCATTTGTTTATTTGTCTTTTTCAGATTCAGTCTCTGATGAGAATACAGCCAATTTATTCTAATATAGAAAAAAAACAAATAATTTCAAAACAAATATAAAATAAAATTTACCTGTAATTTCTTATGTTCATCGCTAAGAGTATTATAATTTTCAATTGATTTATCATATTGTTCACGTAATGTTTCGATGTCTTCACGTGCTTTAAGTGATTCTAAAAACAGTTTTTCTTTTAAAACAAATTTTTCTTTTCATATTTTAACAAACCTCCTTTAAGTTTTTGTATTTCAGCATCATGTTCTTTGGGATCAATATAACGTGGTGCATCACCAGCTGAAATAGGAATTTCTCGTGGATCAATTGTCTTTAAATAAATAAAAATAAAATTTCAAATTTTAGAATAAAAAAGTAATATTTATTTACACTTGGATCAGCGGTGGCTAATCCTTCTAAATGACGATGAGCACCTTCAGCTTGTTTACGTGCAGCAGCTGAATCAGCCATTTCACGTGCAACAGCAGATAAAAGATTGACTAAACGTTTAATGACACTAAAATATTTCATTAAAACTTGAAAATTCTTGTTTCTTTTTCTAGTGTATACTTACAACCAAAGAAAAAGAGCAAAACCAGCAATATAAAAATTTCGTTGTGAACGAAATTGTTTCATATGTGCATGTGCTTCTGCATGTGGTGTGTTTAAATCTTTAACTTCAACACCAGAATATTTTCTTAATTCACGAATGGAATCTAAATAAATAATAAACATACATGTGAATATGAGTTTGTTTTGAATTTTTACCAAGAAATAATAAGACGAAAATACATATTATAAAATTAAAGTAATATTTCGCTCCAGCATGAAATGCTCTTGCTAACCTTGAGTGAAAAAACTTTTGCCAGCTAAAAGAAAAGATAATAGAAGTGTTTATAAGAATCTTTTTTTTTAAAGAAATTTCAAATATTTACATATTAGGCGGAATAAATGGTAAAAGTAGAATAATAACAATGATAAGTTCCAAATAAAGAAATGTCGCTAAGAAAGTCCATTGAAAACTCATGATTTATATTTTTCAATTGGTATATCTAAAAATAGATAAATGAACTTTGGATTGTAGAATATAAAAACAGAGTGATTCGTATTGAATTGTATAACGACTAATATATGTACATAGCAATAATTTATCTATTAAATAGATGAAAGATATAATGGATAAGACAGATATAGACTATGGAATGGACTACTGATTAGAGCGATGAAGATACAAGTCACCGAGTATACGTTAATAGAACTGATATAATGATGACTCAATGTTTGGGTTAAAAGTATTAGATAAAAAAATTACAAAATTTTAATATTACATCAAAAATAATTTTTTTTTATTAATTTTAAATTTGAAAATTATTTTCTTAGTTTCTATAGAGGGAAGCATGTGCAAAAATTTTGATTGATTATTATTTTAACTAATAGTAACTGCAATATAAAGAGAATACAAGGTTTTTCCTCATAAATTGATTAATACGCCTATTTTATGTCATATGATGTGCTGAAAGTACAGTCTGGATACGCATATTAAGCTCATATAAACAGATATGACTTAAATACAAGGACACATATCTTTAGTTTATCCACTTAGTGAAGTATATAATTGTATTACAAAAATGATCGAAATCATACTTAAAATAAATAATGGTGATATTCTGTGTTAGGTATTTTTAATTAATAAATGACTTGATTTGGTTCTAGAAACTAATTTGTACTATAATATTTCAAAAGTTTGATTAAAAAAATCTTGATAGCTATATAAATATATATGATTATTATCGTTTATCTCAATCTAGTCATTTAAAATTGTTTTCATTTTACTAAGATCTCTCATGAATATCTTATAATCAATATAGTTTCTCAACAGATTTATTCATTATATTTTATCTGAGATGATTATATGAAGTAATAATCTTTTGTGTTATCAATATAGAACAAATAAAGCACTTCATAAATGCCATGATTACAATCAATTTTCAATGGATTTATTAGCTGAAAAAGTTCCAAAGTACAATGAAATCAATATTGTACGATACATATCTTAAAATTTCAGCCATACAAATAAATATGGTGACTAAAACTTTCAAAAAACGTAGGAATAATTTGGACATATGATTATTTTTTTTATTATAAAAATTAATAGTTTTATCTTTATCTGTTAATCCGTGGTTTTGTTTTTGGTTTTGATTTGATATCTGCGTCTTTTTTTTTCGTAAGTATATTATCTCATATTTCGAATAATCCCTTAAATATACAGATAAAAATATATCTACCTATGTCAATTCTAAAATAAACTGGTACAGAACATTCAACATGCAATCCGATAGCGGTCACCATGGTAAGTAGAGAAAAAAAACTTGAGTATTTAACTGGCTAAGTCGATCTTTGGAATTATGAAGTCTTATTTTTCTCATGTGTGCTACCACACACCCCTTCTTTTGCTATATAAGAGGTTACTTGTTTTCATTTTCTTCTCTCATATTGAAATATAATCAAATACCAAAGTATTTTCTTTTTTTGCAAAAGAACAGATCTTCATTTGTTAAAAAAAAAGTATTACTAAACGATGAGTGAAACACGTGATACAAGTAAAATCCTTATTTAGTATCATTGATTTTATATTTTATTTATTTTCAAGAACGAATGACAATGCTCGATGAACGGTTTTTATCGGATACAGATTTACAACAACGACAACAGGAACTTGAAAATGAAATTAAAAAGATTGAGTAAGATCTCATTTTTTTTTCTATTCAAACAAGTTGTTCATCTATGTAGTTTATCAACATTGGAGATAACTGCAGAGGATATGATTGATGAATGGTGTAATCCAGATGAACCTCGTGTATTACGTTTTGAAGAAATAGCTGCTGCAGCATATCGAATCAAATTTGGTGTTGAAAAAACACCATGTACAGTATGTACTTGTTTTTTATATAAAATTCTGATAGATTTTTTTTGTTTTATTTCTATATAGAGTTCACATATGTCAAAAATAGTTGGCATGGATTTATATTTTAAAAAAGAATTTTTATTACCTACAGGTAGTTTTAAAGAACGAGGTGCACGAAATACTTTAATGACATTACCACCGGTTGGTTTATATGTTTAAATAGTATGATCTTATAATTTTTTTTTTGTATTATTAGGAAGAAAAAGCTAGAGGAGTCATTGCAGCTAGTGCAGGTAATCATGCTTTAGCTATTTGTTATCATGGTCGACAATTGGGTATACCAGTTGTTGTTGTAATGCCTCGACATGCACCAATTATGAAAGTGAATAATTGCAAATCATTCGGTGCTGTTGTTATTATTAGAGGAATGAACTTGAATGAAGTAAAGAATTGAATGCATAGATAAGTAGAATGACAATTTTTCTTTTAGTCGAAAGGAATAGCATTAAAATTGAGCAAATTATATGGTTTACGATATATTAATGGGTAAAAACGACTTTATTAATCTAAATGATCTATTTTTAATTTCATTATAGTTTTGATCATCCACATATTTTAGCAGGTCAGGGAAGTTTAGGTCTTGAAGTTCTCGATCAAGTTCCAGATGTTGATGCTATTCTTGTTCCTACAGGTATTTGAATTACTAGCAAATATTAGTATAGATATTTATGTTTTTATTTTAAGGTGGTGGTGGTCTTCTGGCTGGTATAGGTAAAAAACAAAAATATTTTCATTGATTTCTATCAATCTATATTATAAAATATTATTTATCTAGCTGTTGCTGTTAAATCACTTAATCCACGTGTACAAATTATTTCAGTTGAATCTGAACGTGCATCTGGATTTTATGCATCAACAAAAGGTTTAAACAACGAATTGATAGTTATTGAATTTTTATATATATGAAAAAATTTTATTTTAGCTGGTCACCCTGTTTTTACCGAATGTCAATCGACATTAGCTGATGGTCTTGCTGTTCCTCTCATTGGTGCAAATGCCTATGCAACAGCAGCACCATTAGTTGATAAAGTTGTTTGTGTAAGGTTAGTATTTATTGTTCGAAAATATAGAAAATTATATTTATATAATTAATTTAGCGAAGAATATATTGCTATTGCTATTTTACGTTTGGTTGAAATGGAAAAAGCTGTTGTTGAAGGTAAATTAAAGTTTATTTTTATTTACTCATTATTATTATTATTTCTTAATATTTAGGAGCTGGTGCTACTGGTCTTGCAGCTGTTTTACAAGGGTTACTACCAGAATTAAAAGGAAAAAAGTACGATAAAATAAAAATAAAATAAAATTAGAATACATTTGTTCTTTCTAGAGTGGTTATACCATTATGTGGTGGTAATATTGATACAACTGTACTTGGCCGTGTACTTGAACGTGGTCTTGTTGCTGATAAACGTTTATTAAAAGTTTGGTTAACTGTTAGGTAACAAGGTTTAATTTAGTAAAACTTTCACTATTTTATTTTTAACAAGTGATCGCCCGGGTTCATTAGCACAAATGTGTAAATTGTTTAGTACAGCTGGTGCTAGTGTTAAAGATATTTATCATGAACGTGCTTGGCTTAAATCGGATATGTTTTCAGTTCAAGTAATCTATATTTAGTTTTTTTTACATCATTTTTATTTTGTTTCATTTATTAATAGATTCAAGTTGTATTAGAAGTACGTGATAGTGAACATGCTGCTGAACTAACAAGGATTATATCTGAAACATATGAACATGTTCAATTTTATAATGAAAATGCACAATAAGAAATAATCAGTTGAAAATTTTTAAAAACATTTAATAAATAAATTTTTTAATCAATATTGACGGATTTAATTGATTATATTAAAAAATAAAGTTTTTGTTCAAATGTAGTATTCTTGATTGAGAAAAATATAAATCTATTTGATTGGTTAATATATTTCCTTCATATTAAATCTTCCATGTTTTTTGATAAATTTATTTTTTCGTTTATACAAATGAGATATTCTTAAATCGAATGGATACAATAAATAATAACATGATTTTATTCAAGAGAAAATAAATGTCACATATTTTATCCAACCATCATACGACTCAATATTTCTCTTTTATACATCTCTCATCATTTTAAAATGGTCAACAACTGGCATAGTCACAATACGTTCGTTTTATATGTGAGGCAACTATTTAGCCGTTAAAACGTCATCTAATGTTCAGATGAGGCTCATTGAACGGAAGCTTTTCTTCTCTTTTTATTTTTTTGTTGCTTGATCTTCTTTTTTCCCTCTCTCTCTCTCTCTTTCTTTCTCATCATATACAGCAAACGACGCGCTCGATTGACATATCCCCGAGAGAACGAATCATGTGTCACACCTCACATACATTTGTCGAATTGTTTAGCCTTTTGGCTCTACATACATGTATATATACAGTGAGTTCACCTTGTTTTATGGCCTTTACACACACACACACACAGGCCAAGGATAATTAGAAGCCATCACGAGAAAAAAAAATCTTCGTCAACAACATCATTTAGACAGGCAAACTTCATAAACTATAAAACAACATACAAGTTGAGCTATCACTCGTGCGCAAAGAATATTATATGAGGAGACGAAGAAGAAGAAGTAAAAAGTAGCTTTATTACCATCTCCTCCAAGCTATATAACAATTGCCAATGTGAATTTTCCTAATAACTTTTAATGAAAAATGATTGGTTTATATCTCTTTCACACGTAGAACATTCCGATAGAATAAAAAAAAAACGAATTGATCAGATAACTTTGATTTGTTGATTGTTTAATCACATATGTATACAGTTCATATGTTTAATCTGAGGAACATATTGCCTATAATAATGGATAAGCACTTCCCTGTGGAGAGAGAGAGAAAAAGAAAAAGGAAGAAATGAATAGTAGTAGCATCTGATTGATCAAACGGATATGAGTGGAAAAGTTTAATAGGGCCATTGAACGGCAACAGCAGTTAAAAAGTGTCGAATCGTCTACATTTGACCGATAACGGGTACATGTCATAGAAACCAATCGATTGTGCATATGTGCGAGAAAAACGATAAAAAAATAACACAAAAAGAACAAACAACAGCGGGTGGTGACCATTTCAAGCCAAACAGATACAAAAAAGACTTATTTAGAAAGAAAACCTTTTATTAATCAAAATCAATAATAGCTAGTTTTTGTTATTCTTTTTCTTTTTCTTTATCATTCTCTCTATCGAGTTTTTTTTGACTGGTTACAAATAAGTACTATTTACAAACGACAATATACAGAGGCGCGAATCCATTAGTGAGGCTTTAATGCGGTACTGATATTGCTCAATAATATGATATATTTATTTTTATGGAGGCCATTTCTCTCCTTCTGCTTTCTCTCGTTTTTTTGCATACATATATACATACATATACACAACATACCTTGTCTTCATATAGTCAATCATCATCTCCTGTTGTTGTTATCATCGATAATAATAAGATATTTCAATATTCAACAGGTAGTATTTAAATACAAGTTTTTGAGTTTAAAAGAAATATAGATATCAATTGATGTAAGAACACACTTCATTAGATCTTTGTTTGTACTATATGTCGGCATATTATCTGACGCACATGACAAATATATCTTTTTTTATATCACTGAGTCTTAATTTTAATTTTGAATAGTATTTGAATTCTATTCATAGAATATTAGATGTGCATGTTGACAACAATAAATATACATATATATTTGTCCGTTAAACTAAAAGTTCAGTTTGGCACATTTCTTTGAAATTAGACTGTATCATGATAAAGAATATATAATTTAGAACTTGTCCGAGAAGTAAAAAACTAGAAACATATTTTATACAGATGATAGTTATTAGACAAGATATCTTATTTTTATCTTGATAATTTTCCTGTTTGAATTATATGATTGGTCATGGTTGACAATATTTTTTTTCAAAAGTGACAAATTCTTTTCTTTCACTCTTCATTAATTAAGTAGTTTCTTTTATAATACCACTAACACTTCATTGATCAAAACAAGCGTAATGAGTAGTATAAGATAGAAACACAACGATGACAACATGATCAAAAAAAGAAATACCGAGTGTCGGTTCCACTAACATTGTCACCGACGTCATCAAATTCCCATTAGATAGAACACATCGCTAATGATCAAGAGACGTGATTTTAGTATATATATATATATATGCTTCAATTGAATTAATCTGTAGAATAAAGTCAAGTGTTAAAAGTTAAAAAAGAACGGAAATATACCAATTCGATAGAGTATATCCTCTTATTTCTTTTTGTACAATGCTTGAAATCATCTCTCTCGGTATGACATTCAGTTATATTTATATATATAAATGCTTGTCACATCAATGTTCTCTTATGAAAATGTCTGATCTTCACATATCTATGTGATAGAAAAGGTCGATCTTATTCACTCAAATTCAGATCGAAAGGCTAAGTGGCCGACGATTTGATTTTACAAAGTTTTTATCATCCTCATTTAATGAAAGAAGAGAAAAAAAACTACTTCTACTCTATGATGATTCATTTATGATACTCTATATGACAACATCTACCGTGAAAGATCTGAATTGAATATTTCTTTATTTTTAAGAAATTGAATGAAATGATTTCAGTTGAATGAATAATGTATTAATTATTCCAAACTTTGATTTCATTACATCTATTGAAATAAGGTCAATCGTTTTGACATAGTAACATTTTCTCATTGATTTAAATTCTAATCAATAAGACATTACTTTTGAATTTTTTTTTTGTTTTGTCTTTCTAGTCATCATGACTAAGTCTTTTTCTTTTTTAAAAGAATAACAATACAGTCGGTATTCGTTCAAAAGATTCATTTTAATTTCATATGTATATATCAAGTGTATATACTAAGTAAGAATGATCATTAAAGAAAGAAAAAAAAAAACTTAACATCGAAATGATATTGATTGTGATCTAGATAGGGTGAAAAAAACCGAAGAGTAAAAGAAAAATTTGCAATCACACCTTTGCTTTTTAAGGTCTGTTGTCTATCTATATGCACCCATCTTTTTTTTTCTCTTCTTCTTCATATCAATATACGCATATATATACATCTATTTGATCTATGCATATATATATATATATATATTTGCGTGGTCTCGGTTTTTTTTCTCTCCTATCATAGCACGAGAGGGACACAAAATTAGTCGCATATATACTCTCTATCTATATTACTATGCACCTCCGCAGGGCAATGACAAAATGAGCAATCGTTCTTCGGGGACGCCGTATGTATATATTGATGATCAATGCAATACGGTAGTAAACGAGAAAAAGCGAAAGACGAAGACGAAGAAGAAGAAAAAAAAAAGAGACAAATTACGAGGAGAATAGAAATATATGTCTACTTAGACCTATCAAAGAAAAGAAATGTATTGATTGGTTGAACTGAAAAAACGTACAAAAGAGCGAGAGAGAAAGAAAAATTCCGTTAAATTTCTCTATATGTTCTTTTTCTTTTCTTTTCATCGTATGTGCGTTCCGAATGGCTCGAAAATATCATCATCTCATCTAACGATAATGCTACTGGAGCAAAAACAACAACACGACTATTGAAAAAAGAGAAAGTGAGAGAGCGAGAGAGAAAACGAGAGATATCTTTTTTTTTTCTTTTTTCTCCTTTTTTTCTCCTCTACTCTCCAACCAACGATAGAAAGAAGTTATTTCCTCCTAACAAATCATTGTAAAGTGCCGGCGATCATTGCCTCCATATTCATTTCAATTGTCGTTTAAACACGTTCTTCTTCTTCTCATTTTTTTGCTTTATTATTATGGGCGAGTATTAGTGGCTGTTTTGAGTTTTTTATTTCTTAACATTAACTACTATCATCCGTCTTTTGACCTGAATGTGTGTGAACTTTTTTATGGGCAATATTATTATTTGACCTCATCAACGACTATACAACAACAACAATAACAAAAAAAAAACTAATAAATTTTTCTCTTTCTACATATATAAAACTAACGATAATTTTACAAGACAATGAATAACTATTTCAGTCTACCATCAACATCAGCAAATGATCTTTTTTCAAGCAATGGAGCAACAACAAATAATAACAATAATAATAATACAGGATCATCGTCAAATGGTGATCAACAAACAACAAGTAACGATGTTAATAATGCGACAGCATTTCCCTATGAAACTGATTATAATCGAGGAGGATTTTCATCAACCTTCGATCGATTAACATTTCCTACGCCAACAACAAATAAAGATCCGCTTATGAATTCATATTCAAATTTTACAATGATGCAAGCTGCAGCAGCCGCATCAATTTCGAGTTCAAATTCTCATCATCTTCATCATCATCATCATCAACAACAACAACAACAAATTCATCTTCAACAACATCAGTCAGCAAATGATTATCTTTTACCACCATCAAATGGTACATCATCATGGAAACAACCTGAACCAATATCATCATCATCAATAACTGCAACACCAGGCAATGATATGTTATCAGCATCAACAATGCCACCACCACCTCATCCTCATCATCAATTATCAAGTTTTTCTATGGCAGTTACTAATCCAATGCTTTATTATGCACATCCATGGATGAGACCAGGTATATATATATATATAGAATAATTCAAGAAAGTTAATCAATAAGACAAACTAAAAGAAAAAAATGATTTATAGACAACGTATGCAGGAAACATTAAAAGTTGACGTAAATGTAATCCATTGAATTGATTAACTTCCTTTGCCATCTTGTTTATCTATTAATGAATGAATGATTACTGAGAATCTTTCTTTTCTTTTGTCTCTATAGAATTTAATTTTGAACACAAACGCACTCGTCAAACATATACACGTCATCAAACACTTGAATTAGAAAAAGAATTTCATTATACAAAGTAAGTTTCTTTTTCTATTTATTTTTCTTTAATATTTCAATTTTTAACAGATATTTAACGCGTCGACGACGTATTGAAATTGCCCATAGTCTTGCATTAACTGAACGACAAATTAAAGTAAACACTTTTAATTAGTTCTTTTTTAATAGTAATAATTTTTCTTTTTCGTATTTTAGATATGGTTTCAAAATCGGTAAGAATCAAAATCGAACAAAAAAAATTAGTTTTATTTAAACAATTTATATTTTAGTCGTATGAAATGGAAAAAAGAAAATAATTTCAAATCACTTAATGATCCTAATGTTAAACTAGAAGCTAATGCAACAAGTCATAGTAGTAGTGGTGGACATAATCATCCACATGCTATGTCAACAACTGATGCAACATCATCATCATGGCCATCAGTACCAAGTGTTAAAAAAGAAAACAATCCTCATCTTTCTCATCAACATCCTCATCCATATGTTACCAATGGAAATAATAAATAGAAAAAAAAAATATCATATACATTTACCTGTATATATTATATATAGGAAGAGCGAGAGAGAGAGAGAGACATTTGACGTCTAGTCGATTGCAATATGAGCACGCGTTCTTTTTTTTTCTTTTTTTTTTTGTTTTGTTCTGATTATTGTTCTTCTTTTCTCGAATTTGTTTGCAAAGAAAAAAGCAAGACTTGATTATCAAAGATATATAAATATAAAATGGTTATTGACCAATGGTTTGTTTTCTTTTGTTGAAAGACATGTTATATTGTGACAGAAAAAATATAGTACGAAATGGTTGTATTTCAAACGATCATATTCGTGTATTTTTAACGTTAAAATATCAGTCTTCATTGGATATATTCTTAAAATATCGAAAAATAATCTACATAATCTGTTTCATGTCTAAATATACTTGTATCTCATGTTTGAAATAAGAGTTATTTTCATAAGTTCCTATTATTTTTGATAGAGAATGTAGGTAAATCGATAGATAATACATTAAATACATCATTTCCTTTCATTACTGTATTGATTATCTCACTTAATCTTAATTCATTCATTATTCTAAACATGCATTTATAGATACTTTGTATTTTTTCCATCATTTGATCTCGAATATATATATCTCGTAAGTATATTTTCCAGAGAATATAATAAAAAACAGGTTGTGTACAATATTAGAAGTTTTGACAATCAAAAGATATGTTACAATGAGTTCGTTTTTAACATTACCTGGTTTCCAACTATGATTTCTTCTTACGATCTTTTAACCTTCGTTTTTTTTTGCTCATCAGATAGCAATATCACATTACATTGACGTACATAGATGGATAAAATTTGTTTTTCATGTATACTTAATGAGATTCTGGCGACAAAAAAAAGTTAGTATCATCTTCAATTTCATGACCAACGTCATCAGAAAAGTAATTATATGAATTTGAAGCCGTGTTTTATCAAAACTCTCCATCGTATATATATATCATCGTCAATAAGCTATTCTTTGTAGATTCCTTTTCATTTCTTTTCGACTATCAATTACATATACAAAAACAAACAATGCGGGTAAGTTACATTCTAGAGTCAAAGTAAAAATTCTATTTGTTTTTTGTTTTGTTTTCAAAGAATCTAATTGTATTCATTACTGCTATTATCTTTACTGTACAGATTCATCGACTCGACAGTAAACCATTAAATGATAATACAAGATTAAAACGTTCTGATGGAAGTTTACTTCCGAATGAAAGTTTTACAATGATTACAAATGAAAAATTAATGAAATTAAAAGACCTTGCTAAAGCTAAAGATGATCCAAAATTACATGATTTATATCGTGCAGTTAATCATTATGTACAAATAGCAAGAAAAAATAATGAATATGTATTATGGAAATATGATGCTAATCGAGAAGGTCTTGTTCTTGTTCTTAAACCAAATTTAAATGGTATACTTCACTATGGTTAATAGAAAAAAAAACATAATACAATACGAACATGTTAACTCATAATTTCTTTTTCTTTCTTTTTCTTCTTTTGCTTCAAAATAATCCATGTATTTCTGTTAACTGAAAAGGAAAAATACATATATAATTAATTTCAACGAAGTTTTTCTTGTAGCTTTTGTATGAAATATAGAAAAAAAACCAGAATGATATGATAGAGTAACAGCAATATAGTTCTCTATATGTATATGCAAAAAAAAAAGAATATAATAAACTAAAGTTCAAGAAAAAAAGGAACGGGTTTATGTTTGCTATTTTTTTTTCTATTATAAAGTTTTAACCGATGACAACGGTACTGTCATCTTTGAACACATATTGAGGAACTTCAAGGTTGAGTGGTGCAGGACCTTTACGTACACGTCCTGATGCATCATAATGTGAACCATGACATGGACAATAATAACCACCGAAATCACCGGCATTCGCAATTGGAATACAACCTTAAACGAAATTTTGAAATAAATATAATTAAATTATGTTTTCTTTTTCATACCAAGATGAGTGCAAATACCAATAACAATTAACCATTCAGATTTTTTCACTCGATCAGCATCATTTTGTGGATCACGTAATTGACTAACATTAACACCTTCTTCGCGTGCAATTTCTTCTGGTGTTCGATGACGAACAAAGATGGGTTTATTACGCCATTCAAATACAGCATTTTTGCCTTCTGGTACAGCATCAAGACTTATTTCGACTTTAGCCAGTGACATAACATCTCTAGCTGGACCAACATAAGCAACAATATCTCGAATGATATATTTTGCCATATAAGCTGATGTTACGGCCATACCTTTTGAGAAAAACATATATAATCTGATATGTAAGATCTTATATCAAAGATATCATTTTTAAGTACATCTCTTATTTTGTTTTCTCAAAAACTATGCTTACCAATTGGAGTTAAATAAGAATAAGGTGAAGTTGCATCGCCAGCATCACGATAAGATTTTGATGGATCAAGACGTGCTTTACGTCGGTAATAATCAAAATTCGGTACTTGAACATCAGTATGAGCATGACGAATACTAAGTGTAGCTGCATTTCCGCGTAATAAATGATCATCTTCAACTTTTATCGATTTCGGCTTAGCAATTTGTCGAACAAGATTTGTTGTCACTTGTGTGACACGTCTGTTACATAATTGCATGGCCATATCTGAAAATTAAACAATTACTCTATTTTAAAAGCGCTATTTTTAACTATTGTATTTTATTTAAAATAATGAATTGGAAATATTATTTAATTATTTTTCTATTTACGGAATTAATCTATCAATTGATTATATTTTATAATTATCGATTATATATTGAACCTTTTTATATAACATTAATTAAATGTCCAAATGAATATATATATTTGAAATATCATTTAGGTTTTAAACCAATTCATTTCATAATGAAATTTTATAATTGGTATAAAATTTTATATCATTGTCGAATTATTGAATTTCATTTTTATCTATCGAGTCTAATTCGAATAATTCGTATTATTCTTTTTATTGGTTTTTTAATAAATATTATCTAGAAATAAACAAATCTATCAGTTTACCAATAGGTAAAAATGACATCCTCTTTATTTTCTACTGTCTGAATTTCGATTTTAACAGGAGTTTTTAATAAAGCAGAAAGTATTTCTTCTGTATAACCTATTAGAAAATACATTCGACGTGGATGTATTGTTCTTGTTACAAGTCCACTTAAAATAATCATATTATGACGTCGTTTTATAATAAGTTCAGAAACAAATAATGAATGCCATGTACCATAAATAAATTGACGAAGAAAAAGATCATCACTAACTGTTTCAGCTTTACGTTTACCATCACGTAAATTTGATGTATTAAATGTATTCCATGTTTTTGTATGACCAATTAATTTTGGAAATTGTCGTTGTTCATCTTTTCTAAGAGAAAAAATTCAGAGAAATAAATTAAAAGAATTTATCATACAAGTTAATGGATAGTTTCGTTTTCGTGTATGTTTTGGTGTTGCTGCTTCTGTATTAACTTGTGTAACATTAGTTAATCTAACAAACCAACTATGGAGAATTGGACTCGTTGATAAATAACAACGTTGTTGAAAACAGTTTCCCAAAAGATTTAGTTTTAGATATGTGTTCATTATATAAACAATAAAAAAAAATATCTATGAAAAATATTTTGGACAATACAAGAAATTTTATGAGGATTGGATCAAATAGCCATTAGTATAGAAAACAAGACTTTAGGTATTTCGTTGACTTGACGATGCATAATTTCATATGGAGAGTAGTGCCATCTAACGTTGATTTTGTACTCAACCTCGCTAGATGCAAAATTTGCGAGAATTCAATAGAAATAAAGCTTTTTATCGTTAGAATTTTTGATGAAATAAAAAATTTAGAAAATTATTTTGCCATATTGTCTCAATTTCTTTCTTAACACATAACCAGGTAGAAAAAAACAAGAAAGGTATGATATCACTATCAGTGGAAAAAACCTTCATGACGTATTTTCTTTCACAGACTATAAGAAATAGAAGATATCTAATATGAATACACAGTTTCAAAATTATAATATGCACACATCATTAGGTAGTCATAAACGTCGGAGCAAACAACCACATATTATTGCTGGTATAGTTACGCCAACGCTCTCTCAATCATCTAATATACAACATGAACGTGCTATTATAGTTGATACTAGTTCAAGTATATTTGGTAGTGAATGTCAACGTTTGGTGAATATTGTATTTCAAACAAGTCAAGCATTTCCATCAATAATGAGCACTTATGGTAATATAAGTCAATATATACGAAAAGAACTTTTTAGAAAATATCCTGAAGAATATTTTCATATAATTATTGGTGAAAATAATGCATTTGGTTTTGCTATTGATGATGGTGATTATTTTGCTGAAATAGAACAAAAACAATATCGTGTATTAATCTTTACAACAAAGACAAATCCAAAAGTTATGTACCGTATAGATGATATCAATAGTCAGATGAAGCTCGAATGGAAGCCACTTATGGTTAAAAAAGTGAAAAAATAACAATTATATTTTTATTATGTATCAGTGTTAAAAGATTGTACAATTTAATCATGTATCTCTAGTACTTGTTTATTGTTATTTTGATTTGTTATTAATATCTCATGTGCATGAGAAAAAAATTTTATTAAATAAAACATTTGAAATTTATACGTCTTGAGGGTGTAAGTCAGCAGTGGACTATTGGAGACGAAGATCGAGATATTGTTTCACTTTGAGGACAAATACTTCGACCTCACAAAACCAATACATTAAGAAGAAATGAAAACAGTGAAAAAATTTTCATTTAGAGAAAAATCTTTTTTTTTCCAAGTTCCATTTCTCATTATGAGTGAAGATATGAATGAATCATTTTACCTTGATATTTACTCACTTCGGCTAGCAACAGAACCATATTTCGTAGAATATCTTCTTAGAGTGAAAAATTTAAGTGATGTTTATCTGTTTATATCTCTTCGATATCTCCTTATAAGTGGAGACATGAATGAGTCATTCCATATTATTATTTATTTATTTCTATTGATAAAAAAAACTATGTTTCGTAGAATATCTTCTTAGAATTAAAAAGGGTGTAGGTGTGGGTGTCGGTGAGGGTATCTCTTCCTTTATCAAACATTTACACCCGCACCCATACTCACACCCACCCACACTCATTCACTTTTCTTTCATAAAAGAGACAAGATTTTAATAAACCAATATCAAGGAAGTCATATACTGCTATAAGGTACTTCCATTTTATAATATTTTATAAGTTGGTAAAACTTGATGGCTTATTGTTACCATCTTTATACAATAAGATTTTTTCAATCTGTGTTGCAGTCGACGTGAAATAGAATTTTTTCTGTTCTGTCTTCACGTATGTTAACGAAAAACAATATTATTATGTGCACACAATATTTCTTCACACTACAGTATGCCTGTTTGTCTGCTCATTTATGTGCACAACGGATTGAAAAAGAAAAAAACATGCAAAGTTTTCAAGTCCTTGATGTTGTTTTGTTGTTTGTTGATTCAACTTATTGGATACGAACGCAAGCTTGTTTTGTAGCGCAGTGCAACATACAACCTTCACTGACTTTGTTAGGGAAGAAACGAAAATAAATCGGTATCCATTAGTTATTTGTTCCTACGGTAACAATGGCAAACGTTGGATTGCTATAAAAGTGTCTTAAGTAGGACCACGAGTTTCTATCAATGGTATTTAGGGCATCATCACAATATTGTCCATAGAGTGTTGGGTGTGTGATAGACGAATACCATACCCATATCAACATCTACACCCTCAATTATATTTCATGTCATTTCAAATACATAAGGATATTTGAACAAAATTTGATTTATTTTTAAATACTTTGACGTACCTTTCTATTTGAAGCCTGTTGTTTCTGCTAATAAACATGTCTCGATCAAAAGAATCGACTTATTTTATGAAGTCAGTCAACTAGTCTCAAAGGGTAACTTCAGTTTGTTATTAAATAAACTATTTCATGGATTGAAATGAATTTGCTTGTACAACAAGTCGGACGCTAGTTTTCATACGATAAGTCTCAAATTCAATAACAGTATGCTACCAATATAATGAAAAAGAGAATATTATACATTTAAAACATGTATTTTCTCTTTGCAGCTAAATCGCCTTCTCATGACATGATACCGTGTACTTGCTTCTACAACAGCGTCCATGTTTTTCCTTAGTTCGTTGGACTTATAAAGCGGATACCACACATATGATGTCGAGAGACACTACAAAATGGCGACATATAAACATTCAATGAGAAAGTTTTTTTTGTTCTTTCACGATTCTATTAATAAAAGAATAATAAGTATATGCGAACATAGTTTCTTACTATCGTTTTTTTAGTAGTTAAGTAGAAATCCCTAGTTGTGATCAGGGGTATAATATTCTCAAATTTCTTATACACCATTGTATTGCTAAACTTCAATAAATCAACACGCTATTTCTACGTATTTGTACACGAACAACATATTTTCGTCGGCTTTTTTCTTCTACCTTTCTTTCTTCAAACGCGTAGTTGCACCATCAAATGAAAAATACAAAACTGGTGAAGTAAATACGCATTTCAAGAGAAGAAATAAAAGCAACAACACATCACACGTTTCAACAGTTTGTATCGGAGACAAGCAAAGTCATGACAAGTTTGGTTACATTACCGGTAGAGCTTGTCTACCGAATTTTAGACCATCAGAGTGATTTCACTTTGGTGTGTTCTATGCGAAATGTGTGTCAGCGACTCAATCAAATCGTTGACACCTACGATCGATACCAGGTAAGGTCTTTTCTTATTATACTCGGCTAATATTTATCAATCTTCAAGATGGTTTCTCACCCTTACGATCTCTAAACCTGATAAAATAGTAGGTAATGAGACTACCGTGAGATAGGCTAATCTATCCATCCACAGATCGATGATTCCACCTCTGAGATCTGGCAGGAAAACCATAAGAAGATGGAAGCAATAGTCCTGATCGAAAAGTACCGTGTGTGGATCCTGATAAGTTCCAGCAAATCCTCTATCGAGAAAACTGCGGAGGGCTATCGTATCCTTGCTCCATACTGCCAGAAACTCACAATATCCCACTGGTATCCGAGCAGGAATGTAGCGGTTTTTGACGGAATACCAGCAGAAACGCGTTACCTTAACATAAAAATACAACTCTCTAGCACGGAAAAAGTAGGATCATAATGAAACCAGGATCTCGGATATACCGCCCGATTTTTCAGCGCATTTCCGTGAATTTTCCGGTAGGAAATTCTAAACAGAACCCCCTACAATCCATCTCACAACTAATCAGTAGGTTTCACTTGTTTCCTACCGTTTACCTCAGAATTCGATGCATTCTGGTCAAGTCCAGTAAGTTTTCGTAAAATCTCCCACGTTCCCATTAATACAATAAGCAATGCGCCGAAAACTAGCCAAAAAAAGTACAAATGTGCAACTAATTTTTCATTATTCCTCATATATAACATTATCAAAACAATGTATAAGTCTAGACCTGATGTAGGGTGTGGGTGCCTTCTTCTTTCACATATTCAAGCAAACACCCACACCCGGCGATGAGAATCTCTCTGTATTCTTAACAAATACGTCTTAAGTTTAATCTTCCACCACTCACAACTTCCAGTTGTTCTCAATCGGTAGAAAATCTCAAACAACCTATATTATCTCAAATCCATATCATCAGAATACCCACCAACGACGCTACATGATAGCAACATCATTCGAAAAACTCTCTCATATCTCTTTCTGAAACCACACGTAGACACTAACAACGCTGGATCTCTCATATCACCAAATCGGATATGAAGGATCAGAATACTTCGACGATGTAATGAAATATTACACAGTAATACTCATTCACTCATAACCTATTTCACATAACTATACATATTTTCTTATATAGACACTTATCACACCGAATCCCGATAACAATTGGGTCGCAACTGAAGCAGTACAATATATGTGTCGTGCACCTCGAAAACAAACAGTATTATGCATTCACTCTTCATCTATTTCATGTAACTACTTGTATCTTCTCATATAGACACTTAGCCCACTGAACCGTTCCTCGAAAAAAATCGGTGCTGCAGGAGCACAACATCTTAGTGATGCACTACGAAATAATACGGTATTACTCATTCACTTTTCAATTATTTCACATAAATATCTGTACTTTTTCATATAGATACTCACCACACTGTATCTGTGGAGGAATAAAATCGGAGATAAAGGAGCCCAATATCTCGGTGATGCACTACGAATCAACACTGTAATATTGATTCAGTTTTCACCTATTTCATATAACCATTTGTACTTTCTCATATAGACACTCACCATTCTAGATCTCTCGTACAACATAATCGGAGCTGAAGGAGCACAACATCTCGGTGCTGCACTGCGACAAAACAGAGTAAAACTCATTCACTGTTTACCTATTTCATATATCCATCTGTACTCTCTCATACAGACACTCACGATATTGGATCTCGAGATGAACAAAATTGAAGCTGAAGGAGCCCGATATCTCGCCGATGTACTACAAATTAATTCAGTAATAGCCATTTACTCTTCATCTATTTCATATAACTATTTGTACTTTCTCACACAGACACTCACCACACTGGACCTATCAATGAACAAAATCGGACAGGAAGGAGCACAATATCTCAGTGATGCACTGCAAATTAACTCAGTAATAGTCATTCACTCTTCGTCTATTTCATATAAATATTTGTGCTTTCTCACACAGACACTCACCACATTGAATCTATCGTTGAACAAAATCGGAGACGAAGGAGCACAATATCTCAGTGATGCACTGCAAATTAACACTGTAATATTAATTCACTGTTCATTTATTTCACATAAATATTTGTACATTCTCATATAGACGCTCACCACACTCAATTTATCGTTGAACAAAATCGGACACGAAGGAACACAATATATCGGTGAAGCACTACAAAATAACAGAGTAATATCCATTCACTCTTTACCTATTTCACATAAATATTTGTACTCTCTCATATAGACACTAACCACGCTAAATCTTCGAGCGAACGAAATCGAAAATGAAGGAGCACAACATCTCGGTAATGCAGTACAAAATAACACGGTAATGTTTATTCGCTCCAGACCTATTTCACATAGCAGTTTGTATTTTCTCATATAGACACTTACCATATTGAATCTGGAGAGGAACAACATTGGAGATAAAGGAGTACAACATCTCGCTGATGCATTACGAATTAACAGTGTAATATTCATTCACTTTTCCCCTATTTCATATAACCATTTGTACTTTCCCATACAGACGCTCACCACACTGCATTTCGGATGGAACGAAATTGGAACTGAAGGACTAGAACATCTCGGTAATGCACTAAGAAATAATATAGTAATAAAGATTTACTCTTCACCTATTTCACATAAATATTTGTACTCTCTCATACAGACACTTACCACACTGAATCTAAGGGACAA